GAGACTCAGAGTTTACATCCATTGCCCAAGTTTGTATAGCTAATGAGACTCAATTCCAGGATTCAACTGATTCTAAATGCCATGTACTTTTCACCATAAGGGTACGGGAATGTTTTCAAGAAAAAAGATCTGAGGGAAACAGAAGAAAAGTTTTGAGCTCAGCTACACCTATGGGTTTCTGTGTGTTTGTTTTCTAAGAGACATGATAATGATTTCCCAAAACAATCAAGAAAATGCTGAGCTAGTAAAATAAGATAAAGTGATTAACCCAAGGTCATATAATCAGTTGATGAGAAAATGACATTTGATTCTAGACTTCCTATGTACTCAATGTATGTTTAACGATGTAATTGATACTCTTTGCTTATCAACATTTTAAATTTCTTAATCTCAGAGACTTCCTTATTTCTCATCATGGATCCCTTTGAAAACATTTAAAGAGAATGTATTATTTTTTCAACTGTTTTATATGAATATATAACATTACTGCTAAAATTCTGGTACAATTTGGAAAGACTCGTACATTCTGTGAACTTATTTAGTGAATTTATCAAGTTAAGTATTTATTCCTGTAAAAAATTAAATCTTCAGCTCTGAAATGCTGAGTAACTGGTAATATATTTGCTAAATATAAATGTATTTATAACTACTTTACAAACTGTAATTTGTAAAATCTGTGCATGTACATTAAATGTGATGAAGTGACAAAAAATTAACCACTATTCTAATGCATTGATTTGATGACTCTTTTAATTAAAAAAAATACTATTACTTTAGCTTTGCTAATAATTTCAAGACTAAATCTGTGAAAATCTGGAATGATCTTCTGATGCTTTGTATAGAACAATCTTCATAATAATTCAAAGATAAAGATTTTGGTCACATGACATATTTTAATGGCCTTTCATTTCCTGCTTTTTTTTTTTTTTCCAATTTCCTTTCTCTGTTGTTAATTTCCTTTTTCCTTTTTGGAAACTGATAACAAATAAAACCAAAAAAAAAAAAAAAAACTTTACATTCTATCAATAAGTAGGTAATTTTATAATTTTCATCACAATTTAGATTTCTTAAACATACTATCAGAGTATTTTTAGTGATACTACAGAAATCTGTAAAGACTGCATGTTCAAAAAATTACATTAAAAAATTATAGTCACTTTCAAAACTTAATTTAAGGAAAAAAAAAAAAACCAAAAACAGCAATGGGATGTTCTTGAGATTTCCTGAGACACTCCCAAGTAGAATCTAAGCTTTGGGCTAATCTTCACAGCATTTCCAGGACATCCCCCTGTATTGGTCCACGTTGTCCACACTTCTCTCCATCCTCGCTAGCCCTAAATCAAATCAAATGCATTCTGATGTATTTTTAGATATTCAGTTGTAAAGTCCATTTAATCCCGTGAGTCTCCTTATTAACTAATAATATCATTCTTCCTTTACAGATCGGAAAATGGTGACACAAAGGTAGTGATTGCTCCATTTAAGGTCAAAATGAAAGCAGTTAAAATGAACTCGAGTGATGCTGACCTAGGCCTGGCTATTTGGTATGAAACATGGTGTTAATTTTGAGTAATAAACATTTTTAAACCAGGCCCTACCTGCATTCTCATATTGATTCAATTAAAACCTGTAAGAAAATTGGTGCTGAATTAACAGGAAATACGATATTCCCTACACCTAAGTTCTTAAATGTAAGACACATGGTGACCATATAGTTAGTAATCAGCAGGGAATTTTTCAATGAATTAAGGAATGAATGCTCTTAACGATTATTTACAATAATTCAAAGATACAGCACTCTAATGTCCAAAATGCTCTCAAAAGCATCATATTGTGACTTTTCAACCTTTCATAGACTAGGCATTCATTCCACAAATATTTATATCCCACATATATAAAGCACTGTACCCTAATTGGTAGGTAAATATCTTCTTTCAGGGAAGAAAAATTAAGTTTCAGTGGGTTGAGTGACTTATCCAAGCTCTAATGACAAGCAGTTCAAGAGCCCCGATCTTCTAATTGTCAAACAGTACTTGTTCTGCTACATCATAATGCCTCACATATTTTATACTGCAACATGTTGGTCTCTTTCAACACACGCCATGTACAACTCATTCTACTAAGCTAAACGGAGAGAATATACCTAAATAAGAGGTCTCTTTCCATTTGAGTGCTATTCTATGACTCACTGTACAGGTTTTTGGGGAGGTGAGATGACTATAGAAATAACTTCTGACTTACAATATGCTTTTCTTCGCCAGTGGCTTCTGCCTTGCTTGTTAGAATTGGATGAATACGTGACTGTTTGCCTGGAATTTACATTTTTAAGTGGTACAAAAATAAAAATCGATTACCGGGTGCCTTCTTAAGTTCCAATAATAATCATTTCATGCTTCTACGTGTTTTGATAAATATGTGTATAACTTGATTCCAGCTCAAGCAAAAATTCCAAAGGCAAACAGGATATTCAAATCCAATATGATCTGATGATATCAATACTTACCTTAGAATATCAAATTAATATTTAGATGGTCTACACCAAAAGTTAACCAAGAAGTAGCTTTATAACATTTTTTTTATTAATTAAAGATTCAGGTCAGAACTCCCTGTTTCATTCTCAACTATTTCTTACTAAAAGAAGAGCAACTGAACACATTCCAGGGCTCATTGTTAATTATCCTCTGTCCTATATACACTTTCCATTTTCCTGATTATGCAATCCTATTTCTTTTTTCTCTTTTGAGTATAAGCAACAGCCAACAGTACTTAGCCCTACCAGCAAAACATCCGCCCTCCTCGGCAACCCCAGGAGAGGGGAGGTTGAATTACTCTGTCTGGTCCTGGCCAAACCACATGCATTAACAGACCAAAATAATTATCAAAACAGCTTACTTTAATAAGATATGGATGTCCTGGAATAAATTATAGATTGCTCTTTAAAGACAGGTGATTCTGTACAAAAGGAAGATGTGGTTCATTAGCCCATCAACTCTTTTTTTTTTTCTTCTTCTATTTTTGGAGGAGAGCGGCATGTAGGCAGGCATTGAGTTCGCCTGCAAAAGCCTATCTCAATGTAATGACATTTCCCCAAAGACAAGGATTGACACGAGCTTCCACGTACCTTGCCCGAACTTGGATGGGTGAGTTAGAGTTATTTATTCCTATGGTTAAATCTCCAAAGGAATTAGGCAAAGGTAACTTATTACTCTGTGCAGTTCAGCCACACATAGGGCAAGCCTGCCCCCTCTACCTCTAAGAAGGTAACTGCGGCCACAAACCCACAGCTATGCTTCCTGGAATACATCTCTGCTTTCTTTTTATGCTCTGCCGACCAGGGGAGTCTCTCTATGTTAATTCATTGACATCCAAAATAAAAGCCTAACAATATTCTATAACTCTCTTAAAACATGATTAGTCATTCTACGTGGTAATTTCGCTTCCACATCTCTCAGATTAGGAAAAAAAAATCGGGTGGTGTTAGGAGAACATTTTTAAGTCTCCTGGGAAGGAATCCAAATCAATGGCACATTTTCTTTTCCTCAGATTATCATTTCTGACCTATATAGGGCAAAAGAGCCCCCAAGGAGCTCAGTGACATAGATGCCTCTGCTCCCTTTCTGCTAAGCAAGCAGGTTCATGGTAAGCAGTAAGTGACAGTTGAGAATGATTTTTTCCTCAGAGTGTAGCTGCCACTCTAAGCCAATGGAAAATAAGGGCCCATCGACTCAGCAACAAATCCCATCTTCACTGCCTCAGATGATTTCTGTGTTGCAATTGAGGAGTGTCGGTATGGATACGCATTAGAGGCGTTTTATCATCAGTTATATACGAACTATGAAATTAAAAGAGAAACCTAAAGTTACTATAATTTGTCAAAGGGGCAAACTATTTCCACAGTGTTGCATGTGCATATAGCATCACATGTATGTACATGATTGTAAAAGTCCATACTTGTAAGTCAACACTGTCCACTGAACTGAATGTTCTCGTTGGAATTGATCAAGCTCTTAGTGAAATGTCAGGCAGAGGCTATAAATTTGTGTAACTGCCTTTACCCAGTGAACCCTTTTTATTAAAGCAGAATGCTTATCAAGGTCACTGTGAAAGATTGTTCTTTTAAAGCTCCAGGGGAAGACTTCAGAAATACAAATCAACAGAAAACAGATTTAATTAACACTTGAAAGTTTATGGTTTGTCAAGAACCTATTGGCCTATCGCTTTTTGGATTTCAGTGGCAAATACATTTTGTAGAATGAAGAAGTCAGAATGCTATCAAACCCCAGCTCTCCTAAAAAGGCACGCTAAAGCTTCTCATTTTCTGCCTCTGGCAGATCTGGTTTGAGCCGGGCGTCTTAAGCTTTAAAAGGCTGGAAAGACTATGCTAAGTAAAAATGTGTGTATTTCTTGAGGTAAGATTCTACAGGTGTAAGTATACTTGGGGGTTGGGGTAGAGGGAAGGATCAAGGGTGTCTGTATAAATGTGTTTGTTCTTATACATGGTTTGGCAAATTACGATCATATAAAATATGATAGAAGAGATGGCTAACCCATCTCTACTTGTAACTTTGAGTCTTGCATACTGTATAACACAGATAAGATCACTTTAAACTGCATGCGTAAGACAAAAAAAAAAAAAAACCAGCGTTTCACAAAATGCCAGATTATATTAGTTTTGAAAAAAAAAGACACACACAAATTCGAAAACTTATTAGATCAGCACTAAAAAAAAAATACCCAACCAAGAGTTTACTATCATCATAAAAGGCAATATACATTATTTTTAATATTCTTGTCACATAAGAGGCTCAGAGAAGTAAAATATCCTATTTAATGAGGCAAGAGGTTTCCTGAGATCACGATGTAGAAACAATCTTTTAAAAATAAAATTATATCCTCCTTAATCCACAAGGCAAGGTAATAGTGTTTATAATCTTTCTGTTACAACCTTTATTTAAAAGATCATCAGCGTTGTAAGTAAATAGAACAGCATTATCACTTACCATCCAAGTAAAGGAATTAGAAGTCTTTCAGTTTCTCTAACGTAGGGATGTGACTAGAGCTGGAACCTCCTCTCACAAAGCTGTTTCCAAAACAGTTGCAACCCTCTGGTGAGCATTCTGTTTATATCATGAAGTGTGGGCCTTTGAGCATTCCGACCCCTTCTGCGGAGCCCATGATTTTTCAGAGCCTCTAAGAACTTCAACCTCACTCTTCTGGGTGCATTCCTCCCAGCCCCCTACGGAGAATTATTCTTGAAGTTGTTGCTGGGAGTTTAATCTGCAGAACCAGAGGACTCCTCAGAGCCCTGGATTGTAGCTTAGCAGGTGGATGAGAAAGGTTACTTTTCGTCTATCAAGGAAAGTGGGGGGGGAGGGGGGCCAGGGGGTATCAGGAGGCACCGCCTTTTAGCTGCGAGGAGCAGGGAGCCCAGATGCCCGTGGCGACGACAGTGGCGGCAAGGGCAGCGCAGGTCCTTCCCTGTTGCTGCAGCCCGGTCCGGAGACGCTGTCCATCCCCTCCGGTGCTGAAGTAGAAGGACCGGGGCCCCCCAGCCCGTCCCCAGATCGCACTTTCCTCCACCAGCGAACGCAAAGGGCTTCCTTGTCTTCGAGTCTCACCTGGTTTCCTCTGGCGCTTTGTATTTTGGTAGGGGTTAACGGTTTCTCCAAAATAATACTCTCAGACTTGTTTGGTGGCAACGTTTCCGGGCATTATCTGACCCTGGAGGTAGGAATCCGTGGGAGATGAGATGTGAGCCTCTCCTGACTTTTCAGTGGCCCTGAACGAGTTTCCTAATGCTAGAAATGAAAGGAAACGCACGCACAAGCGCGCGCATACACGCGCACGAGGAAGGAGGGGGGAGAGAGAGAGGGAGAGAGGGAGGGAGAGAGAGAGAGAGAATATGAATAAATATAGATTATGTGCCGTGGAAAATCCAGAGTTTCTTTGGGTCTCTAATTACAGAAAATGGAAAGGGCTGTTTTGGACGCCTCCCCCCTCTTCATTCCCCACGGGGGGGGGGGCGCGCCGAGACCACACTTAAATTCTGAAAAGCCCCATCTGAAATCCCTGGGTTAGACACAGTAAAGAGGTCGTGGGTATTTCTTGGACCTTCCAAGCAGAAATGACAGGTTCGTTAACAACATAAAAGGACAGAGGACGAGAAAAGGGAAAGAGAAGGCATGTCGGCTCTGCTACCTTTAAGCGCTGCTGACCTGGATCGGAATCGTTGCAGAGCAGCTAAGAGGATCCGGCCGGACGCGGTTCGTGTGAGTGGCAGTGCTCGGGGAGTCTCGTGAGACGGCTCGGCCAGCCGGGAGCCTCGGGAGGCTGCGTTCCCGGGGCAGTGCTCTCGCGCCGCCCACGGCCCAGGCTCCCGCAGGGGTGTGTGGAGAGTCTGATTCCACAAAGGATCCAGTAAGAAATGCGTCAAGTCAGCGGGAGGGCTCGACCATCCCCGCCCCTGTTGGGCAGAACGATGCCCAACCCACCGGGCCCTTGGCCTGGGTTTTCCTCGCACCCCCTAGTCTCCGAGGCCGCCCCTAGCCCCTCCGGGCCGGGGTCCCCCAGGCCTTGCGGCCACTTCGCTCCCGCCGTGCGCGGGTCCCCCACTTCTGCCCATTCCACCTGCTCTCAACCACCGGCTGACAGCACGCCCCGGGAAGGGCTTGCGTGGGTGGTCCCCAGGGCGGCCGCCGAGGGATTCGCCGCCCACGCTCTACACGGGTGCAGCAGACACGACAGCGGGGAGCTGGGGGATTGGCGCACACCGCGTTGAAACTGTTGGGAAACTGATCCAAATCCTACCCGCCTGGAAGCTACGTGTAAGTGAAGAGGGAAAACACAGTGCACGTAGCCCACCCCTTCAGGCTCGGAACTTGTGTGCATTTCTGCGCCAGGAAATGGAGTACACTTGGGAGGAAATTAGGGAAAGAATTACTGCGGGTGCGGGAGGGGCGCGGGAGCGGGGAGGTGGAGCGAAGCACTAACTTCTGCAGGGCGGTAGGAGAGGGGCTGGCGCCGTCGCCGGCCTCCCCCCCTCCCCGCCCCCCGGCACTCTCTCCGCATCCTGGCCCCCGATTCTGCCCGCAGCGACTAAGCCCGGAGTGCAACTGTCCTCCCCCGCGTCCATCGCGGACGGGCGCGCAGATCCGGGCGGTCCAGGCGGGATGGCCGGTCTCCGCCTCCCGCAGGGGACGCGCGCTCCGCGAGGCGCGGGCGGAGCGAGGGGCTGGAGGCGGGGGGGGGGGGGCGCGAGCGGCGGGCGCGGAGCTCGCTGGTCCTCAGGAGCTGAAACGTGGTTGCACCGGGATCGCTCCGGCGGGTTATTACTCACAAGCAAAGTCCGTGTTTTCCTTGGACTTTGAGCTGTTTGGCCGCGCTGCGCCCCCTTCCCTGCCCGGGCGGGGGAGCCCCGGGCTCGAGCCGCAGGAGGCCGCGCGCGGTGGAGACGTTGCGCGCCGCGAACGCTGTGTGGAGCTCGCCTCGCAGGAATCGTGCGCAGGGGACCTCAATCCACCGGCCTGCAGGGCGGGTTCAAGGCGCGACCTCGGAACGCTGGTCGCCTGGGGCTCGTGGGGAAGGGGGGGGGGGGGGCTTTGCTCAGGACGGTGGTCAACGAAGTTTGCCTTTTCCTTAAGCAAGTGTAGACCAACGCAGGCTTCCTGTGTCTGTGGACGCGAGTGCGTGTCTTCCGTACCAGGAAGTTTCAGAAAGTGCCCGGGTTTTGCCGGAGGACGAAACTCAGCCGGGATGAGGGCTCCACTCCTCAGGTGCCATCCTCTCTCGGTCGGTGCAGAGGCGTCTCTCCGAGGTGATTCGATGCTGATCCCAGTTGATTCCACTGATGGTTTGAATTGTTTTCTCCAGACACGTAGAAGCAAGAAAAATGGCACAAATTTAACCAAATAAAAGAAGGGCATTTAAATGAGGCACGGAGTACAAACATGTTACTAATTGAAAACGTATGCGCTTGATTATTCAGACCTAGAGGAACAGATTCTCTTTCTAAACACTGATTGGCGTGAATGCACAGTCTCTCTCTCTCTCTCAATCTCTCACCCCTTCCTTCTCTCTCTCTCTCTCTCTCTGCCAGAAAGAGAAAAAATCAGTTGATTAATTTGAACTGTCCCAGTAAGATTATGTTCTTCGATGTCTTTTTTTAAAGAAGCAAAATCCACTCCATGTTTTGCCTTATCAAGTTGTATAACCAGTTATGGAAATTAAGCTGATGAAAATTAAATTCAGTCTAACATCTGATGCTACAAATGAATACAGGAAGTACAACAAAACCAGGGACAGATACACTGGGAACAATCAAACAAATGTTTTCTTTCTTTATCTTTTTTTAATGTTTATTTATTTTTGAGATACACAGAAGCTGAGTGGGGAAGGGGCAGAGAGAGGGAGGGAGACACAGGATCCGAAGCAGGCTCCAGGCTCTGAGCTGCTAGCACAGAGCCTGACGCGGGGCTTGAACTCCTGAGCTGTGAGGTCATGACCTGAGCCCAAGTCGGAAGTTTAACCAACTGAGCCACCCTGGCGCCCCCAATCAAAGAAATGTTTTAAGAAATGTCATCCTTGTAGCAGATTTAAAAACAAAAATTAATCTAAATTTGTGTTGTTTTGTTACTATTTTTATTTTTTTTTTAATTTTTTTTTCAACGTTTTTATTTATTTTTGGGACAGAGAGAGACAGAGCATGAACGGGGGAGGAGCAGAGAGAGAGGGAGACACAGAATCGGAAACAGGCTCCAGGCTCCGAGCCATCAGCCCAGAGCCCGACGCGGGGCTCGAACTCACGGACCGCGAGATCGTGACCTGGCTGAAGTCGGACGCTTAACCGACTGCGCCACCCAGGCGCCCCTGTTACTATTTTTAAAATGTAAACATAACAAAATGTGAATGTGAAACATCAAAACAGTACAGTATATGAAGCATCACATTCACAAGAAAATGTTAATACCCTAGAATGGTTACTTGAATCCTAAACCAGGTCACTCAATTTCTGTGTTTACAGAACTGGGATACAATCCCCACCCAGCCCGGCCCTCACAGCATAGAAATCTTAGAAAATACTACTTTGTGAAACATTTTGGAAACAATTGGAAGTCCTTTGAAGGGGGAGTTTGAAATGCAAAGCAAAACTTTCGTGCAATGCGATCCAGAGTAACGATCACTGTATACCTTTGGTATAACTTACACAAGCCTCTGATTTTGAGCCACCTTGACACCATATATAAAATGGTGCTAATTCCTGCAAACTGCATTGAATTGTCATAATCAAAAATAAAAGCAATGTGTGTAAAATCTTAATATCTTTGTATGTTTCTATAAAAAGTAGGTGATATTATCTACGGAATAACCCTTGATCACTGTTTCTACATTTCAATTTCAAGACTGGATAGATAACTTGAGGATTCTGGTTTGGTTTTGTTTTGTTTTTATTAGCATATTTTTCTCGTTTCTGTGTTTCACTTATGTTTCCTGTTCCCAATACCCACATCTGATTCTTTTAATCAAAGGCTTCAGCATCTCCAGCATCATTTTGAGCCGATATTTTCTTCGTTTAAATACAACTAGGTGTTACCTACCTATGACCAATGATTTCTAATCTGAAAAATGATCCTATTTAAAATTGTTCTTTTTATTTTTTTAATGAAATGTTGAGTTTATGGGGGAAAAATCCCAAAATGTAGAAAGCATTGCTGAAAAGAGTCATTCCAAGTAGAGTCAAGGAGGACCTTGAGAGAGCAGGGCTATGCAGGCCTTCTGTTTCGATTCTTGGAATACCATGAACTTTTGTCAATTGCTCTGGATCGCCGCCAGCTAAGGCGTTCTAATTTGCTTTGCTGAGTTATCATCAGGTGAACCTAGAGGACTTTGTGTTTGCTTTTGTATTAGTTAAGCTCTGTTGACTTCAGTTACAGGAGTAAGGTGGATGGGATTTCAGAACTCCACTGGCTTCAAAGTAGCTGAAGCACAAAAATCCATCAGTTACCTTTGTTTGATTTTTCTGTTGGGGAAGGTGACTTGTAGAGGTCAGAGAAACTTAGCAAATTGGGCCATGTAAACCACCACTGCCCATGTGTAAGTGGTTTCATTGTAGACAATGGCTCCCTGACCACCTACTTATTTATTTATTTTTTTCTTAAAAAAAGACGTTGAGTATGACTTGCTTAAAAAAAAAAAACAAACAAAGTGTGACATTTGTTACTTGGAGAAGCTACATAAGCTTTTTGAGTCTGTGTCTAATGTTTACTTATTTTAAGAGACAGAGTGTGAGCAGGGAAAGGGCAGAGAGAGAGGGAGACACAGAATGGAAGCAGGCTCCAGGCTCTGAGCTGTCAGCACAGAACCTGAAGCGGGGCTCGAACTCAAAACTCGGGAGATCATGACGTGAGCCAAAGTCTGACATTTCGTCCACTGAGCCACCCAGGCGCCCCTGCTGCTTCAGTTTAAAATAGAAGGAGTGCAACCTGCTTAGTAGGGTTAATGTACAGCACATGGCTCAGGGCCTTGCTCAATATATGACAGACTGATCTGTTTCTAGGACATATCTTCATGCCTGTCCGGCAGAGACAGTGTCTTGGAGAATTTTTCTTGTTCATTAACATCAAGCAGGGAATATTGCTGTATATAAAACACATCCATGTGAGTAGCGTTTATACACAAGTAGGTGAAATTCCACTGCAGGCTTTCAGTGCTATGGACATCCTTTCACAGGTCATCAAGTCCTGCCATGGTAGCAAGTTGTTAACCGTTGACAAAGAAGGAAACTATCCTGAAAACATATACTGCCACTTTAACCTGTATATCATATTAAATGCTTTTCAACTGCCTAGTAATATGCATTTTTTAAAATAAGCATCTATTGGGGAGCCTGGGTGGCGCAGTCGGTTAAAGCGTCCGACTTCAGCCAGGTCACGATCTCACGGTCCGTGAGTTTGAGCCCCGCGTCGGGCTCTGGGCTGATGGCTCAGAGCCTGGAGCCTGTTTCCGATTCTGTGTCTCCCTCTCTCTCTGCCCCTCCCCCGTTCATGCTCTGTCTCTCTCTGTCCCAAAAATAAATAAACGTTGAAAAAAAAAATTAAAAAAAACAAAAAATAAGCATCTATGTACGTTTCACTTACCTCCTTTTAAATATATGTGTATCTGTGTGTGCACATGCATGGGAATGTGCGTGGGTATGTGTTCACATGTTTCTATACACATATAAATAAAATAAAATAAATACTACATTGAAACCTCCAGCCATTACCCAACTATTTATAGAAACGTTTCTTGGAAGTATTTTCTAAAATGGTCCC